CATTCAGGAATTCCAGTTTGGGAACCACTGTATCTGAGTGAGTATACCCTCATGTATTCAGTCGTCATTATTATTATGAATTGGTAAGGTGAAAATAGTGATGGTGATGGTAATGGTGACGATAACAATAATAATGGTGAAGATAATGATAATAGTGAAGTGATGCTAATGGTGACGATGAAGATCATGATGAAGAATCATGATGATGACGATGAAGAATCCACTGACGATAATACAATCCAATGACGATGATACGGGCAATCCTGATTATGAGACGACGACGATAACCAGAAAAAAAAACACACAACTAACCTGGAAGATGAGATTAATGTTATATATCACAGCGTTGACCCCCGCGAGCTGCTGGAAAACCATAAGGGCGAGGGTAATGGCCAAGGGCTTCAGGATATAAGGCTCCCTGAGATCAGATAAGGAGACCTTGTTCTTGGCTGCTCCCAAGGACTCCTTCAGGGCTTCATCTCTTGTTCGATGTCGTAGGATTTTCCTGTGGCGAGGGGGCGTGAGGTTAGGCAGAGGAGGGGAAACGAAAGAGGGTGAAACGAGGGAGAGAGTGAGGGAGCAACATGGAAAGAAAAATAGAGGCAAAGGGGGAGTGAAATATGAGGAAAAAATAGAGGCTGGAATACGAAGAAGAATAGAGACAGGACATTGTGAAGAGAGATAAAAGACAAAAAGAGAGGAAGCGAAATTGACAGGAAGAGAGACAAAAAGAGGATGCGGGAGAAATATATAGAGAAAAAGGAGAAAGTGAAACATAGAAATGCAGACAAAAAGTGAAAAAAATAGAGAGAGGACGAGAAACGGGATCAGAAATCCCTCAAAAAAATTTCAACAGAAATACCAGTGAATCATGAAAAAATCGCCCAAAAATAATGGAAAATTCGCAAAGAATGAAAATGAAAACAAAAAAATATATAAGACAACCGAATCACCAAACAATAAAAATACAACTACCACAACTACAACAAACACTAAACAATACCACCATCCCATCACAACAACAACAAACACCCCACCTCGAAAATACTGCATAGACTGCCTCGCTTCCTCCTCCTTGCCCTTAGACAGCAGAAAGGTGGGAGATTCCTTGATGAAGATCGCCAGCAGGAGGTAGACGCCCCCAACGGCCGCGCAGACGAGGACCAGCCACCGCCAGGACTCCACGACGGCGCCGAAGAGGTAGGCGTAGAGGATGCCGATGGTGATGAAGAGTTGGAAGCCCGAACCTGGAAAAGGAAAAAAAAAAGAAAAAGGAAAGGAATAAAAAGGAAAAGAAAAGGAAAGGAATAAAAAGAAAAGGAAAGGAAAGGAGAGGAGAGGAAAGAAAGGAAAGGAAAGGAGGGGAAAAGGAAAGGAGAGAGGGGAAGGAAGGAGAGGAGGGGAAAAGGAAAGGAGAGGAGGGGAAAAGAAAAGGAGAGGAGGGAAAGGAAAGGAGAGGAGGGGAAAACAAAAGGAAGAGAAGCAAAGGAAGGAGAAGAGGAAAGGAAAAGGAAGGAAGGAGGGAAGGGAAGGAGAAGGGAAGGAAGGGGGGGGAAAGGAAAGGAAAGAAAGAAAGAAAAAAAAGCGGGAAGGTTAGTTTTGGGTTGTTTTGACTGGTTAACATTTTTTTCGTTATTGTTGTTATGATGTTATTATCTATTGTTTGTAACAGTAGTAATATTTCTTTTATTGTTGATGATTTAGTGTCCTATGTATATTCGTTTAACTGGTGGTGGTGGGAGTTGTTACTGTTGGTTGTTGTTGTATGCATTTTGCTTGTATTCGCATTTTAATTTGCGTTATTCCTGTTTATGTTTTTTTGGTGTTATGGTTATCATTATCATAATTGTCAATATCATTATTAATGTCATTATCACCAGTATCAAAAATACATGTCGTTATTATCAACGTAAATAGTATTTTTGTCATTATTGTTAATA